CCCGGAAAACCCACTACTCAAAAGCTGAAGCACATCACCTGAGAAGGAATAGCATCGACACAGTTCTGCATCAGAAACCTGTGATAGGCAGGCAGTAGAGAGGCATCTCCCCCAAACACCATCGCATGCACGTTCCATTCTACCACGGCTGCCCAGCTCCCAACGCACCCCCTAAAGAACAGAACGGGAGTGAAAATCCACCAGCACTATGACAGTGGTAGGGAAAAGGTGTTAGTTCCCTTCTAAAGGCCCAACCGCCAGGCTTCACGCCCGAAGCTGGCACAGTGGCGGCCTCCACCTGGCTCCAACCCAAGCCATGTCTGTCCCATCAAAGTCGCTGGGAAACCCCAGAAAAGCCTGCTTCGAGACGCCTGACAGCTCAGAACTCGTTTTATTTGGGCATCCTTAAGTGGGTTAAACGTTAAATTCATGATTCTCAAAGATGTTTAAATACCCAGCCCATAGACAGACCAGCATGACCCTAATAATGCAAATATTTCTTTCCATTCATTATTTTGATATTTTTTTTAAAGCTTGCAAGGGATGCGCCCCCACTAACAAAATCATTGTTTTAACTATTTGGTCACTATCACTATTACTATCACCCCGTTGTTCTTCAATTCGCTCGAGCAGGCCCAGTAATGGATCCATTCATCCCTGTCACGTGCAAGTGTAGCCCGATGACATATTGGGGACTTCTTCAGGGTCAGGGGAGAAGACCTCCGGGACCCAGCCAAAGCCATGCTGAGACCACTGTCCACACGCTTGGACGAGGAACCGGAAGAGGAACCCAGGTGTGCACGACCCGGGGCTGAGATCTCCAAGCCTGCTCAGTTCGGGACTGGGCCTCCTCCACCCAGCTCCCTCACCTTCCAGTGGCTAGACAGTTACACCCACCAACTGCCGTGTAACCCCATCAACGGCCATGCAGAGACTATAAAACCAAGCTCCCGAAAGCATTCGCAGCCGCACAACCTGTTATTCTCCAGTTCAAACTCTCAGAGAACCCGGCAGCCTACTGAGAGTATCATACCCGCCTATATGCCTGACTAGGAACACCTGTAAAGGTGATTAGAGGCTGCCCCAAAAAGCCTCCATCTGTCTCGGAGAGCTCGGCAAGCTACCGAGAGTATCCCACCGCATGGCAGAGCTTGACAAGCTACCCGTGGTGTACTCGATATGTCAAAAACAGTAACAGTAACTATTTAGTACCCCTGGAAAAAGTGATAAGGTGTGGCTAGTGGCCAAGTTCCCAGTTATTCTGTCCCTACCCAAACCCTTATCCCCCTGAGAAGATGACTCTAACAGAGGATGGCACTGTGGCTCAAATGATGGATTCTACCTGGCAAGCTCAAGGCCCTGAGTTCCACGCCTGGAATTCCATGCCTCCCCTTCCCCAAAATTGTCCGGTGTGATTCTGGTGGACCCTGACCATCAAACCCTCCAGTCTGTGTCACTAGAAGTGTGCCTGGACCCTATGTTTTGTTTGTCTTTTTAAATGATTGGCACCATATGCACATACATATTGAATTCACACACTTCACATTTATACAAATACATAAGATATCAGCATTCAGCTGTTTACATGTATGGACTGGAACCTGTCCCACATATTGACCCACAGACCAAGACTTAGAACCTAGATGGATTTAAACCTGTCTACACTCGCACGCTGCTCTTTGAGGGATACTGTAATAGACACAGAGACATACTGTTGTTTGTTAGATTTCTTTTTAAACCTATGTGAGCAAAAGCACTAAGAATTTTTAACTGTCACTATTTAAAAAAGAAAAACAATTGCTCAGTGATATCAAAAAAGATCAGTAAAACTAAACTAATCAAAGTTTTCAAAGGACAGTGGACTCTACTGGCAACAAGTCCTTTATTTTATTGTGATGAAATGATAGATCCAAGGGAGCATGAAAGAGAACTGGCACTTATCAGACACATCTTCAGGAATGTTCAGATTTCATAAACATCAACCTAAAATAGTTTTTTTCCCTTTTGAGGCTCGTTGCCAGAGCAACCGGGAAAGCTACTGTCTTATAGAAAGAATTTGAAAAGAGGTGAAGGATAAGAGGAGGTAATCAAAGTTTCATAGCAGAAATTAAGAATCGGGAATACATTGTTGCAGGCAGGGTAACACAAAGAATACAAATTGAAGCTCTAGACAAAGCCCCAACTTCTGTTTGACAGTACAATTTACTAACAAGAAATGTACATTCTCTTTCTTTTTTTCCTCCAGCTCTCATTTTCCTCTCATTGAAATGACATAAAACACTGTATTCTTTAAAGTGTCCATAGTAATGATCTGACATGTGCGTACATTCTGAAAATAAGAACCGCAGTAGGATGAGTTATCATCCATGTGATAAGAACTCTGAAGATCTACTCTCTTAGCGATGCGTTCTCCGCTCTATTCTTCCTTGAATGACTCTCTCCAACTCTCCCCCATTCCAAACAACAATTTAACAGTACAAACTGCCTTCCATTCTAAAACTGCTGTGGAGAGAATGTAAACCACCTGGTGCATTCAAAAGTATATCAAGGGGCTGGAGCAATAGCAGAGCAGGTAGGGCTTTTGCCTTGCTCACAGTCGACCTAGGTTCGATTCCCAGCATCCCATATGGTCCCCCGAGCACTGCCAGGAGTAATTCCTGAGTTCATGAACCAGGAGTAACTCCTGTGCATCGCCGGGTGTGACCCAAAAAGCAAAAAAAAAGTATATCAAGGGGGCAAGGAGAGTTAACACGCTCACTTGAACGCTGTGACTCAAAGAAATGTGTGACTCAAAAAAAAAACTATAGACAATACTCGAGCATTGACGCTACTTTTTCCCTCCCTGTTACCTAGTATGGTACCAGGGCCAGGTGGCAAGGTGGAGTCAAATAAAAATTAAAATGCTACCTGGGATGGGAAAGAAAAATGAAAACCAATAATTTAAAAAAAGTCCAAGTGAAACTGCAGAGGCCTTAAACCATGGTAACAATGTGAAGGCACTGCAGGTCGGCGCAGAGAAGGATGTGGATCCCTTATCATAGACACCAGCAAGCAGCAGGAAGACAAAGAGAAAGTGCCAAAAGCAAATCATGTTTCTCAATTAGTTAAAAAGAAAAAGAAAAACCTAGTTTGGTTTTATGATGCTTTCTTTTAAACGCAGAATAGACAGAGTAAATGTAATCAATATTTAAATATACAGTTGTTTTTATTTTTAAAAAAAAGTCAAGCTTGTAGAATTCTAGATACACCATTGAGATAGTACATAGTGGCGAAAATCAAGACCTTATGGTCTATATATTTTATACCCCAATAAACAGAATCACTTTTCTGTTCCTCAATGCCAGCTACTATACGACAAAAAGGCACCAAAATACAAGGAGAAAAAAAAGTTAGTAAGTTCAAAAAGAATCCAAATAGCCTCACAGGGGGAGTTTCAACACCACAAGAAACTCAACTAGCTTCCATTCACATAAGAATTCCCACTGCAACAGACCAAGTTCCTCCCTAGCCCCTACCAACTCTACCAAGTACTTCCAAAGAACTGGCATCTGAAGCCCAACAAAAACTGGTGTCCTAATGACTTCATATGCACAATCTGATATTAGAAGACACTAAAGAATGCCCATGGGTGGGTCTCTATCAGTCCAGAAGTGGTAGGCTATTAAATTTAATTTATTTATTTATTCTAGGTGCTTTTTACCAACCAGCTACCACTGGGCCTAGCTTTTTTAAAAAAGCCATCTCGGCCTCTGCCAGAGACAGGACAGCCGGTAAGGTTTTTGCTTTGCATCCACTACTGGGGCCACAACCGCGGTTCAATCCTGGACACGGTATAAAGTCCCTAGCACGGCCGGGGGTCGCTCCTGAGCACAGTGCCAGGAACAGCCCCTGAGTAGGGACTCTGTGACTCCAAAAGTAAAAAAAAAAAAAAAAAAAAATCCAGGCACTCCAAGAACTTGGTTGAGCATAGGCATTGGCAGGGTGGGGGTGAAAGGAGGTGAGAAACATTTTATTTTATAAACCATCACTTCAGTACTGAAATTCTAAATGCCAACCATGTAAAAATGTGTCATAAGGAGCATTTTATTTAGGTTGCCTTTGGTCACTCTCCACATCATCCCTAATGCCGGAAGAGGTTCTCCTGCCCTCAATTAATTCATCTTTTTCTAAGAGCCCCTAGAAGGGCCCACGACTCCAACCATACAGAGGGGGAGTACCTACTGCCTAGCATAAATTGGATTATGTCTTGTTTTATGTGCGGGGTTGGGCCATATCCAGCACCGCTCAGGGATCACTCCTGGCATCCATCATATGCGGTGCAAGGCATCAAAGTTGGGTCAGCTTCGTGTGAAGCGAGCACTCTCCCCGTGGTACTCTCTGGCCCTGTTTTTTGTTATTTTTTTTTTAATTGCAGTTTGTTCATTTTTGTAAAGCAGTGGACTGGGCTCAGAAGGCAGGACCACAGTGGACAAGGAATCCTGCGCCTTCAAACGCACAGCCCTCCTACTAACTCACGAGGGCTCCACTTCTGGGGCTCCCGGCCTTTTGCGCAGGTGGTGGGAGGGGTCCTGCGTGTGACAGCACCGGCAGCCACTCACACCAGGAGTCCGGCAGGTTCCAAGCCCGCAGGCAGCCCCACCGGGATGGGCAGGCGGCGCGGCTCAAGCAAGCAGGAAGCGTGGGGCGAATGAATGGGCACACCTCCACCTGCCCTGCTGGGCCAAGGCCCCCACGCGGCCGGCTCTCTGGGGTCGGCGTGGACCCCATGCAAGGCGCAGAGCCCCGGAGAAAGGACAGGCGGGGAGGCGGGGCTCCTCCCGCGAGCCCAGCTCGGGAATAAGAAGGGAAACTCCAGGGGGCAAAAAGGCAGGGGCCAGGGGCAGGCAAAGGGCACCGGGGAAGGGCTCGCAGGGTGGAACCCAGCTACCCCCTCTCCCTGCCAAAGCAGGCGTCAGCCCCGCGGCCCGCTGTCCCCTGGCCCTGCCTCGTGCCTCCCTCACCTGATCACAGAGATGAGCAGCCCCGAGGGGTCTTTGCTTTTGCTGACAGTGCTCCTGTATTTCCCACCAGCTGCTTCGGCCGCCATCTTGGCACGGGGCGGGGCGAGGCGCTGGGCTCGCGGAACCACAGCGAACGCGCGCATTGGCATTGACCTCGCGCGCCGGGAGGAACGCGCCAATCGGAAGCGAGAGATCCGGCGGCACGGAACTAGATTACCCAATCGCTGAAGGAAGGAGGCGGGAATTGACCTGGCAGGTGTTTTTAGGGCCCGGGAGCGCGCTGAGCACCCTGGGAATTGTAGTTTTCCTTCCTTCCGCGGTTCCCGGTGCCAACTTCCGAAGTTTGCTAAATGAGTGTCTTCCTTTATAGGTAGTGTGATCTTGGATATTGGCGGGGCCGGGAGGTATTTTTCCTTGGTTTTTTTTTCCTGATGTTATGATAGTATTTTTTTTTAACTGATATTTATGTGATGAGCCCAAAGGTTATACGGGCGTGCAGGGAGGCGATGTATCCAAAGGGGTGGGGAGCTAAGGGGTGTGGTCTGTGCTTCAAGTCTGTAAGCATTTTTTTTTTTACTCTAAAACATTAGTGGATAGAAAAAAATGTCCGCCCGTTGTTCATCGATTTGCTCGAGAGGGCCCAGTAACATATTGAAAAATTAAAAGACAGTGGAATCTTTTTCATTATGATTCGTTGAAACTTTTTTGTTCGTTTTTGGGCTACAGCCAATTGTGCTCAGGACTTACTCCTGGCTCTGGGCTGAGGGATTACTCTGCATTGGCTCCAGGACCCTAGAGGGTGCCTGGGAACCCAGGTCTCCTGCGTGGAAGGCAGGCGACCTACCCGCTGTACTATCCCTCCGGCCCTGAAACTGTTTTCATACTCACTTAGTAAGTCTATTGTTTTTAAGTGTCACTATATTCCCCACCATACCCTGGAAGAAAAAAAAGTACCAGTGTAGGAACACACAAATGGATATTGACCAAGAAAAATCTGAAATGAAATAATAATTTTAAATAAGTTAAATCTGACTGGATAGGATTGCATACTCTCTTTCTTCCCTAACTAAATCATAGATAGATAGCAGTAATGCACATTTGTGTTTTGTTAGCATTTTTAACAGATGTTTTTGTATTTTCTGCATTTGGCTATAGATAGAAATAAATTTAGAAAAAAATTCTAAAAAGCATGAATGAAAAATGTATTAATCTAAAATAAGAATATAAGTACTGAGAAAGAAACTGTAATCTGCTGAATAGGAGTAAACAGGAAAAACTTCAGATTTAGATTCAGACTTAAGAACTTCAGAACTTCAAATTTAGAGGTCCTGGATTTGTGAAGCAGGAATAGAACACATCAACTACTTTTATTAAGCAGATAGGAAGCTGATAGTTCACATTGGTCTTTAAAACCAGTTAAGATTCACATACTTGTGTGGGTGCGTGCATATATGTATATGTTAGGATATTTATATGTGAACTTTTTTATGTACTTGTTTAAAAGTGTTCCTAACCTTTATCCCAGTGACTCTAGTTCTAAGACATTTACTCCCAATTTTAGGACAATAAAGAAGTATTCAGTAGATGCTGTAGCACTGCTCTGTAGCACTGTCCTCCCATTGTTCATTGATTTGCTCCAGTGGGCCTTGTAACGTCTCCATTGTGATACTTGTTGTTACTGTGTTTGGCGTATCGAATACGTCATGGGTAGCTTGCCAGGCTTTGCCGTGAGGCGAGATACTCTCGGTAGCTTGCTGGGCTCTCGGAGAGGGGAGGAGGAATCGAACTTGGGTCTGCCAGGTTGGCCGCGTGCAAGGCAGATGCCCTACCCGCTATCGCTCCAGGTTATAACATATAGTCAATGGAAAACATAACTTTTATGCTTTTAATGAAAATAATTTTGTAATATAAATACAAGAATCAGGCTATGAAGCTAAAAATCATCTAGAGAGATAGAGGTATTGTGTTTAACAGCTAAGAATATAGGCAACGAGGGTGGGGGAATCATATGATTATCCAAACCCCTTTACATGATGAATCACAAGACTAAGAAATGGAGGGCATTTTTTTAAAAAATAAAATATTTTTTCAATAAAGAGGTAAGCACTTATTTCTTGAAGTTCTAAATTCTATTTCTTTTACGTTACACAATCCCTCTATAGAATATAGGAGACTGATGCCATTGCCAAGCAGAAATTTTCTTCATTAGTGTCCGCACACCAGTCAAGAATGGCAGCATAACTGGATGTCATTTCTGTCAGAACTTAAGACTAACATGCAGGTATATTGATCTCACATGCCAATGACTCAAAAAATAAATATTCTTTAATTGCCTCTTGTAGAAGCGAACTGGTGAATAGATGGCAAATGGGTGGGACCATTTTTGATGAAAAGAAGTGGACACTGGTGAAAGGAGCTGTGTTGAAACAGTGCATGTGGGGCCAGGAGGACTGGTAAATAGTTGGGAATTACCACAAGGGTGTGTGTGGCGGGGGTGGGGGTGGAGGGTACTTAAGATACAGGAGTGTCCATTATGGCAATCACTGTCACTGTCCTCCCGTTGTTCATAGATTTGCTTGAGCGGGCCCAGTAATGCCTCCATTTTGACACTTGTTACTGTGTTTGGCATATCGAATACGTCACGGGGAGCTTGCCAGGCTCTGCCGTGTGGGCAAAATACTCTCAGTAGCTTGCCAGGCTCTCCGAGAGGGGCGGAGGAATCGAACTCGGGTGGGCCATGTTGGCTGCATGCAAGGCAAATGCCCTACCCGCTGTGCTATCGCTCCAGCCCATTATGGCAATACTAGTTGGAAATGATCACTCTGCACAAGAACTGAATATTGAAAGTAGGTAAAGGGATATACACGATAACCTTTTGTTACCTGTATTGCAAACCATAATAGCTAAAATGAGAGGGAGGGAGAGAGAGAAAGAGAGAGAAAAAGAGAGAAAGAGAGAGAGAGAAAAAGAGAGAAAGAGAGAGAGAGAGAGAGAGAGAAGAGAGCTGCCTGCCATAGAGGCAGGTGGGGGTGGGGGTGGGTGACTTGAAAGGGTGGGAGGGAAAATGGGGGCACTGATGCTGGGAAATTACACTAGTGGAGAGATGGGTGTTGGAACATTGTATGACTGAAATGCAACCAAGAACAGCTTCGTAGTGCTCTATCTCACAGTGATTCAATAAAAAAATAAAAACAGAAAAAGAAACCGTGTGAAACCCAATCATGAGGTTTCATGGTGACTAAATGGAAATATAATAATACAAATAAAGATATTGTTTAGAAACTCACAGCTAACATCACACTCAATGGTGAAAGATAGAAAGCTTTGCAGCTATGATCAGGCACAAGACAAAGATGCCCACTCTTGCCCCTTTAGTTCAACAATGTACTAAGAATTCTAGCTGGGGCAATTAAACAAGAAAAAGAAAAAAGAAGCATTTAAATTGGGGTACAGGTAGATAGCCCAAGGGTTGTAGCTTTGCCATGCAGGACACCCAGGTTCCATTCCTGACACCACCCGATGCCCTGAGCACTGTGGGTATGGCAATAAATAAATAAATAAATAGATAGATAGATAGCAAGCTCCTAGCTCCCCTCCCCCCCCAAAAAATGTCTTCTGCTTGGAAAGGAAGAAGTAAAACAATCTCTATGTGCCTAGTTGTAGACAAGATCTTCTACACAATAAAATTATATAGAAGAAGCTATATAATAAAAATGAATTCTCTATAATAAAAAAGAAGGTCTCTGTGGTAGGTCTATTAATAGGGTACCTGCCTGGCATGGACAGTCCCTGAAATGGATCTGCAGCCCCATACGCCTCCCCACAGCCCTACTCTGTGGTTCTGCCAGTGCCCCAAACACCGCCAGGAGTGGCCCCACAACAATAAGAGACAAACCGGACCAGAGCAAACTAATTCAGCAAGGCTTCAGTAGAGGAAAATCACAACAACATCAGGGGAAGTCCCACGCAGCTTTGCTATTTGGAACCCTCCCTCCTGCATGACAGACTGTATGTACAAAATCTCCCTACCTTCCCCCCCCCCCACCACACACACATACACACACACACACACACACACAGCCAGATGTGTTTGAGCCCTTCAAGTGTGTGGTGCAGAAACTGTGCAACTCTGGGAAAGCACCTCGACCGAAAAACACAAACAAAAAGTGTGCAAGCTTTGGATCAGACTCGCAGCCTCCAGCCAGCACCACAACCATAGTCACAGGAGGGGTTGTGTGTCAAGAGATTACTCACTGAGTGGGGTAGAAAAAAATATATGCAGGTGTGGGGGGACATATAGGGGTTTTGTGTCTAGAATATTAAAAAAGAAGTCACGTATGAGTTGACTTTGGTTTGTTTGACCAGCTTGGAGCCCCGCCTGATCTGCCTTTCTTGGCAGGGCAGTGGGGTTCAGGGGAAAGGCAACCCCCTCGCCCGACCCTCCAGGTTGCAGTGTCTAGGAGGTACCACCTCCAGTGCCCCAACCTCCCCACGGCCCCCTTCTCCCCCCTCCCCCGCGCATCTGCAAACGGATCTCTAGGATGGGGTGCAGCTCCGCACTACCTGGGATATGGGGAATGTAGCGCGCCGGCACCGACCCATCTCCCGGCTCGGACTGGATCTCGGCCTTCTCCACCTGCCCCCTCGTGCAGGGAGAGTTTCGCAGGCTCACCCACCCCCATGCCCAATGACACCGTGAACTGACCATTCCCACACTGGCGCTAGGCCACTTTCTCCTGGGTTTTCACAATCTCCAGCCCCTTTTTCCAATCTTATTTTCAACAAGCAAAAGACTAAAGTTCTAATTAAGAGCTGGACAATCTGTGATTGTAGAACTGAGATTACCAAGCAGGAAGGAACTGGCTGAGTAGAAGTGCCAAAAAAAAAAAAAAAAAAGCAGTGGTGGAGGGCCTTGGGCAGTTTGAAGGTACTAAAAGTGCAGTAATTGGGTCCAGCACAGCCAAAATAAATAAATAAATAAATACTATTGTAACCATATCATCTAAATTACGTTTTATTTATCTTAATGAATAAAGGACTGGAGCGATAGCACAGCGGGTATGGCGTTTGTCTTGCACACGGCTGACCCGGGTTTGATTCCTCCAT